ATACTTACCCCCATATATTACGTAGTGTATGGGGGCATCTGCGCACACATGGATTTTACTACAGAGTTGACTAATTAGCTTCACAGTAAAGTGTCACCGTCTACACGTATGGTGCTATTAGGCCAGAGTAAACTAATTTACTCTGCTGTAGGATAGTACTGCCCAGCACAAGTACCAGCCTGTGGCAAAGTTTAGTGTGCCATAATATATGTGTAGACAGTGACCAGGGCTGACTGGGGCATGAGGGTGCTACAGCGCAGGGGGGCTGACTGCCCGGGTAGTGTAAACGTTATGCCCGGGAGCAATAAACTCCACAACAAACTGCTCTGGAGTTTATTCAGCCATGCTAACTGCACATGTAGATATGCCCTATATGTGCATTTTAGTTACCAGTTTCCTAAGGCACTAAATTTAAATTGGAGATCAAGTGCCAGCAATACCAAATTCCACTTGAGACTGGAAAGAGTCAAAAGAAAACAATAATACTCTCATATCTTAGATCTATACTGATCCCTAGCATCCATCTGGGGAATTCTCCTCAACAGCAGGCTGAACTCAGAAGCTTCTTAATGTCACTTTGTAGACATGACCTCTTCTAGCTTCATTGTAGAAATGCTACTTTCCATGTTAACTCATCTTCATGTTTTTCTAAAACACCGTTGCACCCTAAGCCTAGAAACTAGCTTTCAGATATTCTACAGTGTCTATTAAAAATTAACGTCCAACCACATATAACACTGTATATCAATGGAAATTGTTTAGCACTGAAGAACAAAGTCAATCCCTAAATTAAACAGGTGTGATTCCCAGTTACATCAGCAAAGCTGGATTTGGCCCAGAAAAAGTCCACCTGTCTTTCATCTTTCCCTCTAAAAAGGAACATAAATTACCTGGAGAAATAAATGCAGTAAAAGCTGTGTTAACCAGCATGAGTGGGGAATGGGGTGGGTGCCGGGTATCTAAAAATTCCAGTTATCTGAGGCTGAGGTTTTCAACCTTTTTGAAAACCCCGGCAGAGCCGGGGGGGGGGGGGGAGGGGGGTGCACACAGAGAG